GCCCTCCTGGGGGTAATGTGAAGCTTGCGGTCCACGTTTCTCGGCCGAGTTTCCATAATCGAAGAAAGGCTGAAAGCGATTCCTAATCAGTCCGATGGTCTCTAAAGGGTTCTGCAAATCAGATCGCGACGACGTGATGCATGACTCTCCACATTCTCGATCGCGTGTTCGCCGCTTCAGTCTCTAGGAACAGAGTAGAACAGCACTAGTTTGATGTGACAGTGACGGCCGATGTGATGATACATTTGTTGATTGCCTTCGTACTAAACGAAGGCGAGTACGATGTTAGGGCGCTCTTGGCATACCTGCATTCGTTGTCGTTGAGAAGCGAGCTCAGGGTCCTGGCATCCGGATACTGCGAGTTCCAAAATGACCGATGTCACTTGAGGTAGGTGAACTACCTTATTAAGGTAAGGTATCTATCGACAACAAGCCTTCTAGAAATGTGATTGCGCCTTTGGACGAAGAGCTACTTGCTGTTCAGACCCCAAACGAAACGGCGATACTGTCGCCCTCGTCAGGGGTCACGGCAATCTCTAGTAACTCATGCGCTCGATCCACAGTATCCGCGTCAATCGCGCCCTCATAGACCAAATCCTCTTCTGCAAAGTTGAGTCGTGACAAGGAAAGGATGTACCGTTGAGAGCCGCCGTGGGACATGGAGAGCTTTGAGAGGATGTTTGCGACGTTGGCCGTCTGCGGATCTGTTACCATGGTATGGAGAAGCAGAATGATCTGAGATACCAACAGAGAGACGCCACTTCGGCCGTCGTCCCAGTCGCTTACACCATCGCGGCGATCGTCCGGGGTAGTACCCACGGTCAAGTTCTTGTGTGAAGGGGAGAGTCCGCCACTGGAGGTATCCACTACGGGGTCCGAAAGGTCGTACAAAACATCGACAAGCTCGCCCAGAGCTGTGACTAACCGGGGTATGACACTGACGTGGCCCGCGACCTGTCGTGCACCATACGGGGTACGGGTAAAGGCCATGAGTGTTCGTAAGACTGCGAATCTTACGGCGTGCTTCTGGCTTATAGACGACACTGCTCTAGGTAAGTCGACTAGGTTGAGAGAAACCTTGTCGATGATCATTCTAGCAGCCAGGTCGGCGTCTTTGCCTGGGATGATGGGGCCAAGGGAATCTGGGAGGGTAGAAGTGCACAGCATATCGAGCATGCCAATGATATCGTCCAGCTGTTGTTTGGGGGTGAGAAGGATGAGAACTAGATCAAGAGTGATCAGCTGCCAAAATTCGGCTTGTCTCGTCTGCGCACCGCCGTCTGCTTCGATCGTTGTCGTAGCGCAGGCTGCGGCAGAGGCGTTCAGCAGAGACAGGATGTACGTAGTATCGACGTGCTGCTGCAGGGCTTCTGTGGCCGCCCCTGCTGACACATCGCCATCCTGGCTCTTGAATCGAGCTTCTGCAACTAAATAAATAGACTGTTGCAGGGTAGGAACCAAGTCATTGACGATCTGCGGAACCACTGATATGGTCTGAAGCTGCAGAGTAAAGGAGAGGAGTGAGGCTAGGTCCCAAATTGGCCGCAAGAAATTCTCTCTCAAACACTGGCTCCACATCTGGATAATAAGACGGGCGAAGTCTACCAGAAGTTGAACCGGATTCAGCGGAGTGCCCATGAGAGGCAAATGCTGGAAAATGAAGGATGCAAAAGACGTGGTCGGATCAGACGGATTTGAGTATCGTGATAATATGTCAAAAGTCGGCGGTTCCCCATGCAAGGAGCCATGGTCTAGTATGACTTGGAGAAACTACGACGATGTTAGCCAGAGATCCTTTGATGATACGTGATGTGGAAACATTACCTCGAAAGGGAGAGTAGTAGGTGTAGGGCCTGGATACTGGACTGGAATGGAGGTGGTCCCTGTGTCATCAATCATGATTACGTCTTGGGCATCTGTCTCCAGAGCCATGACGGGACTATCGACTGGAGGCCGTTTCCGTTTGCCTTTGGTGGGCGTCCTCTCCGACAATGGGATAGCAACAGGCCCGGGGTCCCTGGTTTTGCCTCTATTCTTGGTCGGACTTGGAGCGATATCCATATCGTCAAATCCGTCCGCAACGCCCCAGGTTTTGGCAGCCTTCTTAGGTGTGGTGGTTCCTGGCGCGGCGGACACTGGCGCATTTTCTCTTCGGCGAGGACGGGTCGAGGCATCCTTCATGTCCCTTTGGAGGAATTGTAACTCTGTGGTGGCTTGCCTTTCAGCCGCAATGGCGGCTTCCACAGCCCTCTCTTGCCTGGCAGCTTGTTCGGCATTCTGTTTCTTGAGGCGGGAAACCTCGGCTGCGTGATCCTGTTCCGCCTTAGTTGAATTTGTTCGTATGATGGAGGCCTCGCCTCGTGCAGAGTTCAGCTCAGATTCGAGGGCCCTGAGCCGTTGCTGCAGCGCTGCAATGACATCATTACCAGGTGCCGTGTGCAACTGCGACTGAGATTGTGGAGGATTGAAGCGAGCGGACGAAGGAGGAGCTGGTCGGACGAATTGGCTCGGTGGAGGTCGATACGGAGCTGCAGGGTGGGCAGGCTGAAATCGCTGTGAGGCTACAGGGGCGTTGTAGGATGGCACGGGAGGAGGGTATCGCGGCCGCGAGGAGAGCGTCGGAGGATTTGCATGGGCTGGTGGAGGATTCCATCTTTGTTGAGGCGGTAGAGGCGGGTGCCTGGCTGTAAGCGGCGGGGGCGGGTGCTGGTGTTGATGTTGCTGTTGTTGGGAGATGGTCTTGTCTATGGCGGGGCGAGTAACGGGAGGTAGAAGTTCGTTGGTGACTTCAGCATCGTCGAGGTCGTCATCTTCGAACTCTAGGTCATCGTAGTTCTCGACTTGGGAAGGGTCATGGTGCGGAGGCAGAGTTTGAGACTGGGAGTCCTGTTTTCTTTGTGCTTGTGTGAATTGAATGGCGTTGTTCTCAAGCTCCTGGAGAGTGGTGTCGTTCAAATCATCAAAGTCGTCATCGTTGAATTCGTCCATGGTCGCTTTGAAACGTCAGATTGCTGATCATCATGGACCTATCAACGGTTGAACCTTGTAGAGAGCTTGAGGTGGAAGATTATGGAGTTGGGAATAGTGGCAGCCCACCACCAGGCACTGCGGGCACCTCAGACAGCTAGTTTCCTTATCTTATCAGTGTTTGGAGGACTGCAAGATTCAACGCGCTGGAAGACGCGACCTCCAGGTTGAGGGAGGCGCGCGCTCAGCCACACCTGGGCTCCGGATTACTAGCCACAACATCCATCTCAAGTCCAATCATGTGACTGTGGCTGGTGAACTCGGACGAATCGAATGTAGCGCGAAGCAGAAGCTGGACGAATTTCAAAGCTCGCGCCTCACCCTAAAGCACCTAGACAAAAGCTACTGGCCAGACCTGGCTAGGTAGTTGGTTGCCACAAGATGGCATGTGATGATGTCAGCTTGCGTCCACCTATTGATAGCTATCTCGGCTTGACCGGAGACGGCATAAGCTATACCGGCGGACTTTGTTGCCCAATCTCAAGCTCCTCGTCAGCCACGAGCCTCGAAAAAAGCATTCGAAGATACTGTGCTTATCCGTCCGTAGCATTTGGTGTATTGAGAGGAAGGCCCTTGGCTGACCAACTCAACAACTTTGGTGGGTTGGTAAGGTACCTAGGATGATGCTCCTCCTTTCAGCGGAGCCCTGCAAAACATACGCGTAAGGAACTAAAGGAACCTTTCACCCGTTACGTCTTGTGTGCATGGGGCTCCTTGGAGCTTGTGCTTTCGGCGAAAAAAGGTTCTTTCACGCATGGGACCTTACACTTACCTATCCGTGCCTGACTTGAGGTAAAATAAAGCACGACTGTTCTGTCTCCGAAGGAACTAGCAAACAGTTTTATTGGGGAAGAAAGAAAAGTAGAGATCAACGGAGATGACTAGCAGCCCGGAGACCGAACCGACAATGCAAAAAAGTGGTTTGGCCAATGAGGCATCTAGACTATCAGCATTTCAGCATTGATGGGAGGTGCGGTATTGCCGACCGGCTGGATTACCTAATCTCCGCTCGAGGGGGACGGGACAACAGGGGCAATGGGGACAATGAGGGCGGGCAGGCAATGCGAGCGGACTCCAATTCCCATCTCCAGGGCCTCCCCCCGCCAAGAATGCAGGCCTGACGTAGCTCTTTTACGCTAATTTGCACCGTCATCATTCGCCCAGACCAGCTGCCCTGGCACCGTAGCTTCTGTACGAATAATTTGTACTGTAGACTGTTGGTAGGTACCTAGATAGAACATCTGGGGGCCTGGGACAACGAGCAAGAGGAAGGATAACAACAGAAACTCTTGAAAAGAACAGAAATCGTGAAGTTACAAGTAAAAGTGAGAGAAATAATGCAATCAAAGTACCTAGTTGGAGGAAGGAGCAACGCAGCATAAGGTACCTAACAGCCCGAGTCCCGTCGACGTGGACACAGCCGCAGCAGCCCGCTTCAGGCGTGGGAAGGAGGTGGGTCCACTTGGGGATTCTGCGCCAGCTGTGCCTTCCCGCTTTCCGCCCTTCCCTTCTGCTCTGCTCAGCCTTTGCGTTCCCTCCCAGGTCTACTTACGCTACCTTACCTTGCTCCGTACGGGTTCAACAAAAAATCCATCCACGCCGACAATTCCCATCTGCTTCTCCAACACGTCACCCACGACCGCCTGCGATTCCGAGCTCGACCCTGCGCTTTCACGCCTTGGGACTCGACTAGAATTTGCCCTTCCGACGTGTCTCGACAACTCGACGATAATCCATTCCATCGCCTGTCCTTGCGACCCAACGGTCTAATTTGCGCCGACCCTCCGCTTCCACTCTTCCCATCGCCGCATCCGAACCACCCGCTTTTGCTTCGCGACGACTTATCACGACCTTTATCTTTCTCCTACCAACCACGCTTGACCACCCTCAACTAGTATCGCAGCTACCTACGAGGCCGACTCGTCGAGACCTCTTGTCCTTTCGAGTACTGTGGAACCGTCAATAGAGACATGATGGCCCGCACACGGAGGGGCGTCAAGTTCCCTCACAAGGCCAATGGTCACGGTGAGGGGCGCCGCTCCAGCTTCAGCGATGTCAGCGAAGATGGTTCGCCCACCAAGCAAAGGTCTGGCGCAGCCTTGGAGAACATTGTAGAGGTAAGCTCTAGATTTACAGTCTGCATCTGCCCGGCCTTAGTGCGACTACCAGCGCCATCATCATCATCATGGTCATGGCCATGGCCGCGACCCCGTTCAATTTGGTATGGACAAAGTTAACCTTTTGCGCCTGCAACAGCAACCTCAATCACCCGAGGAGGAAAAGCGAGCCGCCTACGAGAAGAAGAAGGCCAACTTCCTGACCCGTACCTTCTGGACCTTTGTCATGTTCGCTGGCTTCTTCACTGCTCTCTTCATGGGCCACATCTACATCATCTGCATCATGACTGCTATCCAGATCATCTCTTTCAAGGAGGTTATCGCCATCGCCAGCGTACCCAGCCGCGCCCGCCAGCTACGCTCCTCCAAGAGCCTCAACTGGTACTGGCTGGCAACCACCATGTACTTCCTCTACGGCGAGAGCGTCATCTACTACTTCAAGCACATCGTCTTGGTTGACAAGGTTCTGCTGCCTTTGGCAACCCACCACCGCTTCATTAGCTTCATCCTGTACATCTTTGGTACGTCCTTTCTCGAGATACACCAGAACATACCCTTTCTTCCGAGCACGCGCTGACTTTTGACCTCGCTAGGCTTCGTCTTCTTCGTCACCTCTCTCCAAAATGGTCACTACAAGTTTCAGTTCACCCAGTTCGCATGGACGCACATGGCCCTGTACCTCATTGTCGTCCAGGCTCACTTCATCATGAACAACGTCTTCGAGGGCATGATCTGGTTCTTCCTCCCAGCCGCCATGGTTATCACCAACGATATCTGGGCCTACCTTTGCGGCATCACCTTTGGCCGCACCCAACTCATCGCCCTCTCCCCCAAGAAGACTGTCGAGGGTTTTGTCGGCGCTTGGGCCTTCACCATCTTGTTTGGCATGCTTCTGACCAACGTCTTGATGCGCTCCGACTTCTTCTTGTGCCCAGTCAACGTGAGTAACCTACGCTACTCCTAGATAAACGCTGTTGACATTCTAACAACAATCCAGGATCTCGGCGCGAACATTTTTACTGGTCTTGAGTGTACCCGGAACCCCGTCTTCATCCCCAAGACGTACAGCCTGCCTCCTTTGTTCTTCCTGCCACCCAACATGCACCAGACCTTCTCCTTCACTGTGGCTCCAATGCAGCTGCACACTTTGGTATTGGCCACCTTTGCCTCTCTCATCGCACCTTTCGGCGGTTTCTTCGCTTCTGGGCTCAAGCGCACTTTCAAGATCAAGGACTTTGGCGACTCCATTCCGGGACACGGCGGTATGACGGATCGCATGGATTGCCAGTTCATCATGGGCTTCTTCACCTACATGTACTATCATTCCTTTATTGCTCTTCACAAGGTCAATCTCGGCAGCGTCATGGAGATGGCCGTCACTGGCTTGACCGTCGAGGAGCAGCTCGAGTTGGTGAGAGGCATGGGTCGCTATCTTAGCAACCAAGGTGTTTGGGGAGATGAGGTAGGTCCTATCGAATGCTGCTTGATTACATATCGTGTGTGCTAACTCTCATCAGATTATCCAGTGTCTGGACAAGGCGTTGCAGGCCAAGCGGTAGATGTATCGACGTGGCATATCGACAACTACTGAATAAGAGCAAAATACTGCTATCTAATGACGAACTAATGCGACATCCGGCACATGTGCTGAGCAGAGCAAGGAAATAACCTCCCTCTCCATCCTCCAGGAAAGCAAAGGAGAAGGGCTCGGAGCCGGACGGTCAGGAGCTGCGCGCGGGTAAATAAAAGCATTTGCGTAACGACGACAACGACGGTCGCTGTACAAGAGAGTTTTTCTTGGTTTATGACGGGCGGATGGAATTTGCATGGACTAGTTGTAACATACCCTGTCGCGACGTTTTTCTTTCAACATACCACGTCTCACTCTTCAACTTCTGAACCAAGCTTGACCAAGCGTGAATCTCGAAGCCGCGATGTCACGAGTGAGTGACAGCCTGGCTCGAACTCGCAGTGCCCGTGGAGATGCTTCTCTTATCGGCGATTGAGCCGACCGTTGCGGAGGCGGGGCCCCTTCCCAACCCCAGGATACTGCGGCGTATTCCTTGTCCGGCCGTCCGAAGTTTGGACCGGGCCGGTCGGGTTTCCCGGTTTCCGGTATCCGGTCCTAACTTTGTGAGAGCGATCCCGGTCATGCCTTATCAAGACCCGCAACCCCGCTCCGGCCAGACACTGGGTAACATCTTCCGATGGACATTTCCGTCTTCCATTCGTAGGTGGCGTATTACCTATCAATCGGCGGCCATCATTACCGTGGAACTTCCCCAGATCAACTTTATCTGGAATACACCTGAACTCACAAATCCTCGTTGAACCTACCTTAGCCTTCGCTTATTCCATCTCGAATTAGATACGTTCAGCGTACCACGAGCTGAGAGACGCTGTGCTCACTCTTCGCATTGAGACCGTTATCCTTCAGACTCCGTAAACCGGCGCACCGATCCCAAGACCCACCATGGCTCCGTCTGCCGTTGTCAGCGACACCGAGTCCATCGAGGCCCGCGCCGCCGCCATCGTCCCCAAGGAGGTATCGCACACCAAGCACGGCCATGAGCTCGCCAACAAGACGCCTTTGCAGGCCATGTCCCATGGCGATGTCGCTCTCGCCGGTATCCCCAAGTTCCCCGACTTCGCCTCCCAGCGTCAATGGCAACTCGAGCACATGGCCGCCGCTTTCCGCCACTGGTACCGTGAAGACTACATCGAAGGCATGAGCGGCCACATCTCCGTCAGAGACCCCGAACACCACGACGCCTTCTGGACGAACCCTCTCGGCAAACACTTTGGTCTGCTCAAGGCCAGCGACATGATCCTCGTTAACCTCGACGGCGAGGTTATCGGCGGCAACCGCAGCAAGCCCCCCAACACGGCTGGCTTCTTGATCCACGCTGCCGTGCACAAGGCTCGCCCCGACGTTCACGCCGTGTGCCACAACCACAGCATCCATGGCAAGGCCTGGTCGGTCTTTGGACGTAGGCTGGAGATGCTGACCCAGGACTCCTGCAAGTTCCTTGGCGAAGCGCACAGCGTTTACAACAGCTACGGCGGTGTCGTTCTGGGTCCTGAGGAGGGTGAGCTGATCGCCCAGGCATTGGGTCCCAAGGGCAAGGGCTGCATTCTGCGAAACCACGGCCTGCTGACGGTTGGACGCACCGTTGATGAGGCTGCCTTTTTGTACACCTCCATGGAGCGCAGCTGTCGCGTGCAGCTCCTGGCCGAGGCTGCCGGCGCCAACGGGTTGGCAAAGGTTCCCATCACGGATGAGGAGGCGCAGTTCAACTTCGACGTTGAGAGTGACCCGGAAATTTGCTACTGCGAATTCCAAGTCTACTACGACCTGGAGGATGAGTTGACAAACGGCGCCTTCAAGAACTAAGGCTGCCAGATTGACTGCAATCAAACCATTGTTCTTCCTTCCCTCGATAGATTCCCTCATCATACACCAGCGTTCCCATTGAATCAATATCAAAACCCATGTTCACCATTTGGCTGCTTGTGAAAGTTCAAGGTGCAAGGAGTGGCATCGGGAGTCACTCGGCTTGGCCGAGCAAAGACGCAAGTTTCATGTTGTTAACTGTACGAAACTCGTTGAGATCGATATCTTCTATCACAAATGAATCATTTCAATAATACCAGGCGCAACTCAGTGATACAGTCTATTAATCTATTACACCTCACTATCCAGGAGGTCTACTACCCATAATGAATCCTGCAAACATTGATAACAGATTTGCCATGACCAACCGGCACCGTACTACTTCTTCTTCATCATAAGCTTTTTGAAAGGGTTCTTTCCCTTGAACCTGAGCCAAGTCCCGACATAGACTACGGCGTAATTAAAGACGATAAACCCGCAGAAGATGCCAAAGTCACGCCAGATGTTGCTGTAGTAAACGCTGAAGCCTGCGCCGAACTCATCACCCGTCGCATACTGGCAGAACTCGCAAATGCCCCCATCTCCAGTCCGAACGTATCCACCAGCCTGCTGGATATAGGGCGCGGTGTAGTCCTCGCAGGACTGGTTGGGAGGAGGTTGGTATCTTGCAAACTCGCCAGACTCGCACTGAACAGGTTGATCATGAATGGCGACTCCGAGGAAGGCTTCCAACAGGTAGTGGAAAGGGGTGAGCCAGTACATCCAAGCCCTCCAAAACGTAGGAAGTTGGGCAGCCGGTACAACCACACCGCAGAAACTGACGACGAAGAGGAAGAAGATGGGAACCAAGAGAGACGCAAGGAGCTCATTGGGAGCGAATGCAGCTATGCCCTGGCCAAAACTTACATAGTACAGCTCGAAGAGAATGACCAAGAGGAATGCAAAGCCCGAGTTGAAGGCGGGAAGACGCCATCCAAATACACCCCACCACCAGCAGTTGAAGTAGATGCCTCCGGCTATAATAGCGTAGGGAATCTCAACGAGAACTGCCGCTGTCGTCCAAGCAAACCAGCTGTAGATCTTTGCGTTGTTCTCGCGCGACTGGAAAATTTGGCGGGATTGCAGAAAGACTGGCTGCAGTTGCTGGATGAGCGGGGGACTGATCGTAAGAGTCATGAAGATTGAGAACAGCCGGTTCTGGTAGTCGACAGACGCGTAACCAATCTTGTAGAATGTGAAGCAGTTGAAGAGACCTGTCAGGATGTGCAACATGAACTTCCCGATAATGTAGTTGGGCGTGCGCCAGTACGCAGTGAACGAACGTTTGACAACCGCCATAGTCTGAGTCGTCAGTGGCATGGCGTATTCGCGGTCATCCTTGAGGCTCTTTGAGGGCTCAACGTCTTTTCTCCTAGCCAGCATCTCATCAACCTCCCTGGACCTCTCATCCTTGTGCTTCGACTGCGCCCAGACATCTCCCCAGTCCTTGCCTTTGTAGTTCGGGTCACCTGCACCAATTGCCTCGAGCATGTACTCAGCTGGATTGCTGCTTGGAGGACATTTGTGAGCACCGTTTGACTCGAAATATTGAATCAGTTCTTGGCTATCGCGTCCAAGCGGCCCATGGTACGCAACTCGCCCTCCAGCTTTGAGAAGCAACAGTTCGTCAAACTCCTCGAACAATACGGCTGATGGCTGGTGAATGGTGCATAGCACAGCCTGGCCAGCATCTGCCAACTTGCGCAAAAATCTGACAATATTGAAAGCAGCGCCGGAGTCCAAACCTGAAGTAGGCTCGTCCAAGAACATGAGGAGCTCTGGCTTCGATGCCAGTTCCACTCCAATGGTGAGCCTCTTACGCTGTTCCGCATTTAGGCCTTCGCCGACTTTGCCAATCGTCGCTCCGGCGATATCACGCATCTCGAGAAGATCAATGATGGTTTCGCAGTAATCAAACTTCTCCTTCTTGGAGACCTCTCGGGGCTGGCGCAACAGCGCAGAGAACTGGAGAGCTTCTCGGACCGTCGCTGAAGGTTCATGCACGTCCATTTGCTCGGCATAGCCAGTTGCTCTTTGGAAGGACTTGGGCAGTGGTCGAGAATCGACCAGAAACTCTCCAGTGACTTTGCCAAAGGTGAGGCGCTGAGCCAGGGCATTCAGCAGAGTTGTCTTGCCAGCACCTGTGAGGCATTAGCGATTGCAAGTAAGAGCTCCTTGGACAGGATCGATGCTTACCGGAGGCACCCATGAGTGCAGTGAGTTTTCCAGGGCGGACGTATCCTTGAACATCGTCCAGGAGCGTGCGCTCTCCTTTCTCGAAAGGTATTACGTATTTGACGTTGCGGAAGGTAAAGACCGTTTCATTCCGAGCCACTTGCTTCATGGTATCTTCGTCACTCTTCTCTTTCTTCGCAGTGTCCGCTGTCATCGTCTGCGTACTGTTGCTGGCTTCGCCTGACTCCTCGTCATTCTTCTTGCTACGCCCGCCAGCGGCGATGCTGTCCTCCACTTTCTTGGGAACTTGTCCACGCTTGAAGACAGTGATGGCGCCACCACCAGTGTTCGGCTTCATGTGCTCCATGCCCAATGCTGTGAGAGCTACAAAAACGAAGAAGAAGGCCCACAGGAAACCGAAATTCCTCCACAGGTGCGAACGAGAATAGGTGAAGGAAGCTTCGATGTAACTCGAACCGGGTACAATCGTCTGGCCTGGCGGGCTTCCGGCAAGCGCACAGCCTTGATAAGCCGACGAAGCGTTCGGTCCCTGAGGTACGAGGTAGGGCGGGACGCATTGGAGCTCTCGGTCGTAGAACTCATTAGACATGAGGCACTCGAAGCCGTACTGGATCCAATTAATCCACCGTAGCCACCCAAACCAGGGGCGCATCGAAGTGGGAGGGATGAGGTAGCCTGTATAGACGATGACGATCTGAACAGATACACCCGTGAACCTTGTAGCATCGTCCAAGGTCTTGCACCAAGCTGAAATGGCACGGAAGAAAGCGTAGGTGACCATGGTGACCAGCCAGAGAATCAGTGTGGCGATGAAGAATTGTGACGCAGTCCGTGCCAGGTTGGACATCCAGTAGATGATGATGTTGAAAAGAATTACCTGAATGAATACGAGTGGTACATCCACCACGGTTTGGGCAATGGCGAAAGCTGCTGGGCGATAGAAAGAGAAGGACTTGTGCTTGAGGAGAATGGGCTTGGACTCAAAGGCACTCGTCTGTTCCGCCAGTGCGAGCAACGCGTTGAAAAGAAGCAGGAAGAACAACGTTCCTCCGCGGGGGAATGCTCCAGCAGCGGTGTTCGGGAGGTTGTAGAATAGACTGCCCACGATGAGACCTTGAAACACCAGCCCTCCCCATTTGCCAAAAAGGGACGCTCGATCCCCAGCCATGACCATGAACTGGCGTTTGGTGCAGTAGATGACCTGCTTGTGAAAGGGGATCTCGTAGTTCTTGGTCTCGGTCTTCTTTGACTCGTTCTGTCGGCGGTGTTCAACCTGCTGATGAAGCTGAGACTCAAACTCTTCCACGTCCTGGATGTTCCTCCTGTAGGCCTCGCTATTTCTGTATGCCCAATCAAACTCCTCGGGGGTTCTTGGAATTCGGGACTCGTAGCCATCTCGAATGTGGCGCTCATGCTCGTCGGTCACCGAAGTGAGGAAGTCTGCAGTTGTCCATCGGTCTGGGCACTTGAAGCCGAGATCGATGAAATACTGCTTTGCGGATTCGGAGGGCCCAAAATAGAGGCACTTCCCCTTGTCGATGAGAAGCACTTTATCCACAAGGTCATAGAGAGACTCGCCGGCTTGGTAAAGGGACACGGCCGTCGATGTCTCTGCCATGTTTGTCATAGCGCGAATCGATCGGACGTACTCCACGGCAGTACTCGCATCGAGGCCTTTGCTTGAATTGTCCCACCCTTGAACGGATGCACGAGTAATCATGGCCTCTGCAATGCTGACACGCTTCCTTTCACCACCCGACACACCTCTGACATACTCGTTTCCAACCTTCGTGCCCAAGGTGTGCTCGATCCAGAAGAGCTTTGTGGCAACTCGCATGAACTCCTCAATGTAATCCTTCCTACTCTCACCATCAAGTCTTGACTCCTTTCCGGGGGTTCTCGTCTCCAGTGCAAAATTGAGGGTTCTCTTTACAGTCAGGGTTGGATAGTGGAGATCGTCTTCCGGGTTGTAGATGATTTCTCCGCGAAACCTCTTGCTCATCTCCTCAGCGGGGGCGCCGCCATAAGTGACGTCGCCTTCAACGGCTTGGAACCCTGCCCTTTGATTGCAGAAGGCCTTGAGGAAAGTGCTACATCCTGAGCCTGGACGGCCAAGAACAAGAAGAAGCTCTCCAGGGCGTACACAACCGTCGAAATGACTGATGAGCTCCCGAACCGGAGGCTTTGCAAATGCAGCCTTGGGCCCTCGAGTGAAGAGCATTTTGATCTTGCGAGGGAATCCGAGAAAGATGTCTCCAATCGTGGGCTGTAAACTGGCCCCGAGGCCGACACCTTTGACCGTGAGATCGCGGAAAACAACTCCACTGTGCCGCGTTTTTTCCTCCTCGCTCTGTTCTTGCCGAGCTCGACCAAAGATCCGAGACATGAGGCGTTCAACCTCTTGCTGTTCCTCTTGCTGCTCAGCATCTGACTGGTGCGTAGCATTGGTACGACGGCGAGATAGTACTCGGAAAAGGTCATCTTCGGTCAAATTGCTCTCTTGTCTGCGCGCCTCTGGTCGTTTGGTATTGCTGGCATGGGTCTTGAGGGGTGCAAAGTGAGTGCTATCCGTCGGCGATAGAGCATTTGCGGAGGGAGAAGACGGCGTCGAATCAACATCGATAGGGGCATGCTTTTCCGACAAATCTTCTGCTTGCGAAGCTCTGCGGCTTCCCGAGACTGCAACACCGTTGCCAGAGAGCGTAACAGTAGAAGAAGAGGTGTCGTCGCGGACACGCGATGTCGTGGCAAAATAACTCGTGGTGTTCCGAGTAATCTGGCTTGATTGTGTGCTTGCAGCATTCTGAGCGTTATGCTGGCCGTGACTAGACAATGTCATTGGCGTAGGACGCCCGCTGGTCGGAGCAAGACTAGGCGTCTCCGGGAAGCCGCCAGGAACATCGGTGTCCCGAGGCGTGGGCTTCTCGTCCATGATGGCTTGTTTTCCCAATAATAGCAGATAGAAGCTGATACACTATGGTTTCCTGCGACGTGATGATGGTAATCAAGTAAGTCAAACCCCCCACTTCCTGGCACCCCCCTGTTTCTGGCACCCACAAAAACGATGGGATCACAACCCAACCTCCTCATTACTATTAACTATTGATCCTCAACCACACCCACTACAATACAACTGCCAGCCTCACTAGGGCATTCAGAGTCGCTGGATTCAGCCGTAATAACCTCCTTTTCACCCGCTTCGATTTGAGCCCGATGGATATCCCTGATGTTCGCAAACTTCGTGTTGGGATCGATCTGAACAGTCTTCCTCTTCCTAACTGCAGCGTTGGTAACTTGAGCCCTCAGGTGAGCCAGCTGCTGCTGGGCAGCTGCCAGTTGCCAGGCCTGCTCTGTGAAGCCTTTTTTCACCTTCCTGAACAGCAGCCGTTGAGTGCTGGTATCATTGTCGAGTTGGGTGTATAAGTGCAGTTGACCGCTGAGCTCTGCCAGCTTCCTGGGTGTCGACCAGACCACTGCAGAGGAAGCAGAATCCCATGGCTCAACAGGGTAGTTTGTTGACCATTATGGCATCGCTTTTTGCCCCGACTGGTTGGTTTGGGTGTGGTGGGCTAGCAGAAGGCTCAGGTAATACCATAGGGTTCATCAGGGGCTTAACCATCGCTACAGGGTGTAGACCAGTCCACTTCAACCACTTCTGATGTTCGAGACTGATAGACCAGCAAGTCGAGCCTTCTGGTAACAGTCCAGGAAGTTCCTTTTACCTATAATGGTAGAGTCGTTCCATTGAGACAAGTAACCGAGCTCCTTCCGATAGGCTGACTTAACAGGGCTGAAGACAGACTGGTCAAGTGGCTGGAGGACATGAGAGTGTGGTGGTAAGAACAGTAAATGGATATTGTTAATATAGCAATTCCACATGAAGTCTGTCGTCGTATGACTCCCATGCCCATCCACAATCAACAGTCGAGCTCGCCCTCAGCCTCGGGCATAGTCTGTGGGATAAACACCTTCTCTAACCATTCAATGGCAGTTAAGTCTGTAGTCCAGCCATTATCTGTTGCTGTAAACTCCCACCCATCGTATGGAACCAGATGTAATGGAAACCACTGTTGTTGGACCGTCTTCCCTTGAAAATGATAAGAGGACGAAGTGCCCTACCCAAGGCTGAGATACACTCAATGATAGAGACCCATGCCCTCGACCCAGGTTGTTTCTTGCGAACAGACGTCGTCTCAGCCATGCCCAGCACTAACCCATTAGCTCCTGACCTCGAGGATGCCAGTCTCATCCATATTATATCTGTTGGCTGGTTTGATGTCCTTGATCTCAGGGATAGCAAGGAACTTAAACCAGTTCCTAATGACCTCAGTAGATGCCCCATTAACGCGTCTAGAATCGATGGAACGACTTCTCTGAACCTTAATGATAGGGTTCCTTCTCACGAAGGCATAGATCCAGCCTTTTCCTAATGGTTTGGTATCCCCAGCAGCAGCCAGAACTCGCTCTGCGAATTCCTTCACCTGTTGGTGCGTTGGTGCGAGGCCCAGCGAAGCCTGAATGCGAACCCATTGTGCCAGCTTACTCTCCTGGTCAGGAGACAGCCTCTGCCAGTCAGCAAAGCCACTTTCCTAGTCTGACCACCTTGGAGACGTAGTTGGAGGGTTGATCGTGGTATCCCATACTCCAATGAGGCTCTCTTTTGACTCTTGCCGTTTGAGATGTCCTCGAGAGCCTGACGAAGCTGATCTTCGGTATATTGAGGCATTAGATATAGAAGAAGGTATGTGCAAAAAATGAGCCCATTTGGACTCGAATTGAAAATGTTGTGATAAAAGGAGGTTGGGGGTGGGCATTGCGTTGTGGTGGATTTTCGCGTTTTTGTGGGTGCCAGAAACAGGGGGGTGCCGGGAAGTGGGGGGTTTGACTTACAACGATTACACATTTAGTCAGGAGTACATCGATGCACAGCGCGAATGGGCTTTGACGCATTTGGCTTCAAACTCGAAGTAGGGCTAGATTTGATATTTTGTTTTGCATTTTCTGGGTCGAAAAGCATTAGAATTTAGACCAATACAAGTATATGTTTTCTTTGCTTGTGGAGTAGTGTGCTAATTGGAATGTTTTCACGTCAAGGAATCATTTTCAAGCTCTCTTCTTAGACCCGCACGATATCATGATTTGTACATGACTTAGTATGTTGCGTCTGGATCCCTTGATACAATACCCCAAGTTTCAAGGTTCCAGCATGTTCGGTGTACATCGCTAGAGTCGAGGCATTGAAAACTAAAGATCAAGCTCCCAACATATTCGTCACCGGTTTCAGGATATCTAGTTGGGTACTTTGTTGGTAATATGCTTGATGTATGAGACTCATGAACATGGATATCCAGATCCCAGGCAGCCAGTCAGTCCAGCAGCCTTTTCATTGTTTTCGTCTATCGTTTTATGAGTTAACCCTGATGGTGAACGACTATCGAGAGGTAATGCAAAATCATTACACCACACCAAGTAAAAAATATGTTTTGTACCAAATGCCCAAAGTTTCTCAAAGTGATCCTCAGAGTGGTTCAATATTCAGAAAGTAAGTACATACATAACCACCTACTTAATTAACATATCCATGTGAAAGCGCGTTCTTGGGCACCTTATGCTTGAGCTCATTTCAACTCTCTTATAGGCACCCAAAGTGCGATTGCCTGCGTTCACTTGACAAAGAAGACTTAGCGCAAAGACGAAGCTCAAGTCTCGTTTGGAGGACTGAACATCGGACTCAACCGCGGGCCAATCAGAGCAGGGAGAAACACGGCCAAACCCGCCCGGCATTTTCCCTCATGGGCCCGAGCACTCTACCTTAGCCAGTTTTAGTCCAGATGCCAAGATTGACTTGTCTCATTGATTCCAGCAGCAATGAAGATGAGCGCAAGACATTGTAATCTGATTATGGTCTCTCGCACAATTCGGGGGTCGAAAAGTCCGTATTAAGGGAATTCTGACCGGTGGGATTGACTTCTCGGTCAAGGAATGGCCTAATCGCCGATTGAGGTGCACCATTTTGCATAGGGTGTGAGCGCTATCGCGCGGCTTCGTGGATCTATGACGAAAGCGTAGCTTGAGCTTGCCAGATGAGGCTCCTTACTTGGAGAAGAAAAGAATCTAGTGGTCTCCACTTGGCTGATATTCTACACCAAAGTCGCGCTGACGCGACCGACGTGGTCTGCAAGTACCTGGTTGTACGTCGTCATAGATCTCAATTGGACTAACGGTCGGCGGATACGGATGACCGACGCCGTTAGCTCACTACAGGTGGAATCGAATTTTGTTGCTCGCGTCCCCCTTGAAGATGTGGTCGATATTCTGGAAACGGCCTAGTGTTGACTGGCGTTTTGTTGGCATGTGGTTTCAACGAGAAGCCACAATCCATCGACTCACTGAGACAATATTATTTACTTACGAGTTCCCACCGTCACTGTGCTCTGCATCTCGCCTTCTGTGAGATGTGCAGTGTAGTTAAGTCAAACCCCCCACTTCCCGGCACCCCCCTGTTTCTGGCACCCACAAAAACGCGAAAATCCACCACAACGCAATGCCCACCCCCAACCTCCTTTTATCACAACATTTTCAATTCGAGTCCAAATGGGCTCATTTTTTGCACATACCTTCTTCTATATCTAATGCCTCAATATACCGAAGATCAGCTTCGTCAGGCTCTCGAGGACATCTCAAACGGCAAGAGTCAAAAGAGAGCCTCATTGGAGTATGGGATACCACGATCAACCCTCCAACTACGTCTCCAAGGTGGTCAGACTAGGAAAGTGGCTTTTGCTGACTGGCAGAGGCTGTCTCCTGACCAGGAGAGTGGCTGGCACAATGGGTTCGCATTCAGGCTTCGCTGGGCCTCGCACCGCACCAACAGGTGAAGGAATTCGCAGAGCGAGTTCTGGCTGCTGCTGGGGATACCAAACCATTAGGAAAAGGCTGGATCTATGCCTTCGTGAGAAGGAACCCTATCATTAAGGTTCAGAGAAGTCGTTCCATCGATTCTAGACGCGTTAATGGGGCATCTACTGAGGTCATTAGGAACTGGTTTAAGTTCCTTGCTATCCCTGAGATCAAGGACATCAAACCAGCCAACAGATATAATATGGATGAGACTGGCATCCTCGAGGGTCAGGAGCTAATGGGTTAGTGCTGGGCATGGCTGAGACGACGTCTGTTCGCAAGAAACAACCTGGGTCGAGGGCATGGGTCTCTATCATTGAGTGTATCTCAGCCTTGGGTAGGGCACTTCGTCCTCTTATCATTTTCAAGGGAAGACGGTCCAACAACAGTGGTTTCCATTACATCTGGTTCCATACGATGGGTGGAGTTTACAGCAACAGATAATGGCTGGACTACAGACTTAACTGCCATTGAATGGTTAGAGAAGGTGTTTATCCCACAGACTATGCCGAGGCTGAGGCGAGGCTCGACTGTTGATTGTGGATGGGCATGGGAGTCATACGACGACAGACTTCATGTGGAATTGCTATATTAACAATATCCATTTACTGTTCTTACCACCACACTCCTCTCATGTCCTCCAGCCACTTGACCAGTCTGTCTTCAGCCCTGTTAAGTCAGCCTATCGGAAGGAGCTCGGTTACTTGTCTCAATGGAACGACTCTACCATTATAGGTAAAGGAACTTCCTGGACTGTTACCAGAAGGCTCGACTTGCTGGTCTATCAGTCTCGAACATCAGAAGTGGTTGGAAGTGGACTGGTCTACACCCTGTAGCGATGGTTAAGCCCCTGATGAACCCTATGGTATTACCTGGCGCTAAGCTACCACCCAAACCAACCAGTCGGGGCAAAAGCGATGCCATAATGGTCAACAAACTACCCCTGTTGAGCCATGGGATTCTGCTTCCTCTGCAGTGGTCTGGTCGACACCCAGGAAGCTGGCAGAGCTCAGCGGTCAACTGCACTTACACCCAACTCGACAATGATACCAGCACTCAACGGCTGCTGTTCAGGAAGGTGAAAAAGGCTTCACAGAGCAGGCCTGGCAACTGGCAGCTGCCCAGCAGCAGCTGGCTCACCTGAGGCTCAAGTTACCAACGCTGCAGTTAGGAAGAGGAAGACTGTTCAGATCGATCCCAACACGAAGTTTGCGAACATCAGATATCCATCGGGCTCAAATCGAAGCGGGTGAAAAGGAGGTTATTACGGCTGAATCCAGCGACTCTGAATGCCCTAGTGCTGCGGCAGTTGTATTGTAGTGGGTGTGGTTGAGGATCAATAGTTAATAGTAATGAGGAGGTTGGGTTGTGATCCCATCGTTTTTGTGGGTGCCAGAAACAGGGGGGTGCCAGGAAGTGGGGGGTTTGACTTACCCAATCTCCGACCCTCTGATGTAGAATGAGAATCGGTGGTATTTCGTGAGTGGAATGCCGTGCTTGAAACGCCAGACAAGGTCGGGGTTTGCAATAAAGCTTCTTCCAAATGCAACAATGACATCCCACTTCGCGTAGTGCCCTTCCAATGCCTGGGCAGCGCTCTCAGGACCATAGCCACCGGCCACAACAACGGGGGACAGGTTGTCCCAGATATCGAGGATGAAGTCGAGAGTCTGTTGCGCAATCTTGGGATCGTGCGTAGTGTTCAAAAGCTTGGCCGGATCGCCTCGAGCCTCAACGAGTGACAGATATGCAAAAGGGACGTTCATCTTCTTCAGCTCCTTGATAATGTAGGTATACTGTCCGTGGATATCGGATGACTCCGCACCTTGGAAAGATGCATACGGAGAGAGTCGAAGCGCCACTTTCTCAGCGCCGATGACCTCAACGACTGCTTTGATGACTTCAAGAAGAAGCCGAGCCCGGTTTTCAATAGAGCCTCCCCATTTGTCGGTACGCCTGTTGACGGAGTCTGAGAGAAACTGGTCTAATAGGTAACCATGGGCTCCGTGGATTTCAACACCATCACCGCCTGCGGCGACAACTCTCTTGGCGGTGTCCACAAAGTCTTGGATAACCTGCAGAATCTCCTCTTCAGTCATTTCTTCGGGAACGGGTGCGCCAGGCTCCATGGGCACAGCGCTCGAGGATCGAAACTTGTAGCCGCGCTGCTTCTGATAGTCAGGATCCGCAGCTCGTCCTTGAGCCCAGATTTGCTGAAACCATACGCCTTTCTTCTCGTGAACTGCAGCAATAACCTTTTCCCAAGCAGCAACTTGCTCGTCTGTGACAAAGGCTGGGCCGTGGGGTACTCCAGTCTCCGGCATAGAAGTGCCAGTGGCCTCTGAGATAATCAAAGTACCTGGAGTTGAGGCTCTGTCGCTGTAGTACCGAGGAACAAAAGGTTTTGCCACGTGGTTGGCATCATTTCGGTATCGGGTCAACGGTGCCAGAGCGATCCGATGCTCGAGATGTGTGTTGCCAAGCTTCAACGGCTGGAAGAGCTTGCTTTCTGCAATGCTAGGCGATGCCATCTTCAACTGATGATTTAAGCTGCTGGGTGACTAATGGTGCTAATATGTTGGTTCAGGGTGGGATATGCTGACGGAAAATGAGGGAAATTTCTTGAAGTCGCCGAGGAAAAATTGATGCTAGATATCTAGATCCTACCAAGTCAATTCGAGGTTTTTTGTTTCATTCTTAAATACTATCTATCCGTCGAGTTGTTTCCTTGTTTTTGAGAAGGCCCACACATGAATCGGCGAGTCAGCCGGAAGACTGATTCGTGATGTTGTAGGCAACTCCGCAACTCCGGCTTGGCATCTTACAAAGCGTACAGCAGCTCCGCGATTCCGGGACAACCCGATCGCCGGTGCTGATGGTAATGACATATTTAAGTGGTCCTGCCGAATTTGTCATCCCGCTCTTAGTCATCGGAGATAAACCTTTTCATCGGAGACCAAAATGGCTTTCGTACGCTCAATAATAATACAAGGAAGTCTTTAGCGTCTCGTTCTGCATGATAATTGAATTTCACCTCATTTTGAGTGTCTTTCGTAAGTGGTTTTGCACTATGAACATGGCACACCGAAACCTCAGAACTAGAGTATTGATAATCCTGTCAATCTATCCAATCCATCGAATTATCCTGTAAGTACATGTATTCTTTACATCACCAAGTCCAGCATGATTCCAAAACATCAGCTTTCAAGCGCTATCGAAAACCCGAACAGCAGCTTGAGCAGTAGATGTAGCACTGGCTGGGTTCTGGCCTGTCACTAGGCGACCATCGACTACATGAAAGTCGTCCCAGATACCAGGGGCACGCACATCTGTTTTCAATGTTAGATCCGAAGAACTCACCAGCAAGCAATGGCTGGGTCATGGATGGAGGAAAGAGTGAAAAGCTCACATGTCGCCCCGAGTCGAATTGCCGTTTCCTCCACCATCTCAGCACCCCAGCTTCTGAGTTCATCCATGATCCCCATGGAGGATTCGGCTTCCGTAGTAAACCCGGTGATTCTCTTGTTCTTGATCAAGGGCTCATTGGTGCTACGGTCGATCAGATTGGCGAAAAGTGCTGGTCCGTGGCAGACAGACGAGACCACCCCCCCATTCGCCCAGACTTGCGCTGCGATTCGCTGAAGAGAAGAGGCCGTGGGATAATCGATGAGAGCGGCATGGCCGGCAGATGCGTAGAAAAGCCCGTATGCGTTACCATCGAGGTCAGCGGCTTTTGGCATGTTGTCGAGCTTCATGCGGAATTCGCTCTTGGTATTATTCCAAACATCCAAGTCTTCGCCGTTGAGGAAATCTGGCTGTGTCGAAAGCCAGTCAGGGGTATATGTACCAGTCTCGGAAGCGAGATCAACCTCAAAACCAGCTGCTCTTAAGACGCTGTAAGGATGCAGCGCTTCGCTGATGAAGAGACCGGTGGTCTCCTTCCCCTCGAATAGGGTGCCATGAGCAGAAGTTATGCTAATCAGAGCTCGGCGCGGCAAAGACATAGTGGCTTTTGGAACAAAGTGCCTTGCTAGACGAAGAGTGACAATAGGGTAGCTTGATTATTGAGTTTTGACTCTAAGTATAAAGTTGCGAAAGAAGTTTGATTTAAGATAATTCAAACCAGAGTTGGTGAATCGAACGGACGTATTTATACCAAGTTCGTGCTATTGTCTTTGAAGGATCGAGGCTCGCTTAGTCGTTCGCAAAAGGAGTTGTTTCGATTGGGTCGTTGGTTCGCAGTGTAGGAGCAACTCCTAGTGGTCAGGAAAGGACCAGAGTAAGCAGAGGCAGGACATGCTCCGATTGGTGGAACGCACCATGAATGCTTACGATTATTGATGCGCAATTCTTTGATGAATTGGTCACGCGATCAGCTCGAAAACAAATGACACCTCTCACTATTGCTTGCTCGAAGCAATTGAATTCACGATCACGTTTCTGGTTGTTTGAACGTATGTCAAAGTATTGGAATATACCCGGTATTATTATCTCTATCAAAAGACAAAGGACTCGCCAAATGTACTGATATCGCCGACACCCAGCATGTCGATATTGGCCCAGAAATCTACGCCAACCGCCATTTCCGTGAAATCGAAGTCCGCAAATTGAGTCAAAAGCTCAGGGGAGGTTGATGTATAGACCGATTTAGAAGTAAAGCCATTGGCTACCTCCACTTCTTGGTCGATACGCAGCGTAGGTAATGCAGCTGGCTCCTTCTGACCATGGCCCTGGGAAGAAGTCGATATCAAGCCATCGATCTTCGTACACAGCATTCCGACAACAGTTTCAGCATTCTTTGCGAGCTCGAAACTTTCGCCAAATGTACCAAAAACTGACAAGGCTAAACCCATGGCACTTCTTGCGGCTACGACTGCAGAATGACGCGGATTGGCCAAGATAAATCCTGCTAATGTGATGGCAGAATTCCATTGCCACTGGAACGCTTCATGCCATCCATCGAGTATAGCCGTGGACGAAAGCGCTTGTTGGGTAATCTTCGATAGCTCTATTGCATGGTTGATACTTTCTACTGCGAGCGTCTCAAGACGACTTCCGGGGGCCGGAACTCTTTTGAATGAAATGAAGGGTCGGTAAAGGTTGACAGACATGTGGTGATATTCCAGTTCCAGGAGAAGGCGTTGTCTTTGAAGCCAGAGTGGGGCATACTGCTCAATAACGAGAGCCGAGCCGTCGGTTGAAAGAATGCGGCCGTTGTTTACTCGGCTGTTTTTGAGCGCACCAGGCAAGTTTTGCACCCATCTCTCTATCATGACGGTATGCGCTTCCAGACTTTCGGCTACCTTAGCCAAGGATGGGGGATCATCCCATATGGTCTTGTGTTGTCCGAGCCCAACGTCGTGGCTGTATAATGTAGTATGAGCATCTCTCATTGTTTTGAACAATTTGAGGTGATGGAGACTAAAGCTAAGCCAGGTAGCGTCCCCTGAGATTGGAGCGAATGTAGATCCTGATAACATGGAAGCGCCAAGCTGATCATCTGGGAAAGGCGGCATAGAGAATGAACCATGTAGTAAGAAGGGGCGTCCCAGCTTCATCCCGACTTTGCTGTCCAAGACATAGACAGCCCACCAAAGTCGACGTCTCACTTGACGTTCTTTCTCAGGTGTATCAAGAGGAGGATCAATATGCAGACCAAGCATATAGGCTATGCGTACAGCTTGACCACAAATGCTATCTGCCATATTATGGAACGACGCACCACAGACATAGACAGCTGAAAGGAGATGGCACTGTAGGGTGGAGATAGAAGGGCTTTCCATTTCCCCTGCTAGCAAAGTCTGTGCTCTTCGGTAATGCCACCGGCCAGCAGTTGTAGCATCGTTTCCTTCGACGATGTTTCCTTGATGGCCAGACGGCAGACTTGAGGCCATGTACTGCATGCACATGGCAACAACAATGTCGACCAGCGCTGAAGGCTTGCGAGTATAGCCAGAGGGCACATCCAGATAGAGGGCTTGATACTCTTTTTTGAACTCGGCCTCGTCAATAATGGCATACAAAGAGGTGTGGTATGATTGCCAAAATAGGTTGACGAAGTACTCTTCTTGAATTGGATTCAGATAGACCCCGGGTTTGTTGCCGTTCAAAAGTGGCCTCAGCAAATGAGATGCGTCTTCTGACGTAGTCCTTTCCTGGGCGGGCACGGCGCTACCGCTCGTTGATCGGAGAAGCATGTGGTCTGGCTGAGTATGCTCTACATCGGTACTGAGGAACACGCCAAGGCGATGGATGAAAAAGTAAAGAGACGAAGGTCCAAACCATGCGACATGGGGTGATCGTGCGGGTCGAAGCAGAGCACCATCCCAAGGCTTATTTCTTGGCGTGACAGAGTGGCCTTCGATGTTACTGGCTGCCGTTGCTTCCACGTTGGTAAGTGGTTGTTGCGAATGTGTAGAAAATGAAGTTCCAGGATTGGTATGCGCCCCTCGGTGTCGTTGAAGCTCTCGTTCGAGGTCCAGAACTTTCAGCCTTAGTCGATCTATCTCTTCATGGGCCTGAGAGAGAGTCGAAGTTCGGGTTGCTTCCGTATTGCTGCACTGCTGGCCCCGACCCCTGCAATTGGCACAAGGGGACGCATCATCGCATTTAATGCGACGCAAACGACAGGCATCGCATGCTCTGCCGACCTGCTTTCTTTTTGGCCGGATCCCACTCCGTGACCGGTTCTCCGCAGGTTGTGCGAGAGGGGCAGAATTAGCCATGAGTCAGGAGGATCTACACAGGCCAGGGTGAACGAAGGTTGCGCTCCGGCGGTGATGAAGTGCATGGGTAGAGTGACCTCTTGAGTAAATGAGGTTGTAACCCTCCTACACGCAGTCACCCGAGGTAGCGCACCGTGGTTTGAGAGAACGGATTGGATATGAAGTTGTCTACGATTCGGAATGGGCTGTGCTGTGGCCAGGCGGAGGTTGGAATAGTAAGCACGCGGCAGGCAACAGCGACGGCACGTGCTGGACGACCCACATGAGACACCAGCTGGACTGCCTATCCGAAGAGCCTTCGAGCGTCCGGAGTCCCTACATGGTCTGTTGACCAACACCCATAGCAATAACAAGATGATCTGATGGCAGTCCGTACAATACTATGCTTGATGGCCTTTCCACCGTAGCAAACTTGACCTCTGGCTGCCCGTACGAGTCGTTGGGAGTGTTGGTTGAGCTGATGGCCCCTGCGCTCATCGCGAGGTCTTGGTCCCAAGAGTCCCCCCAAACCGTAAGATACCTTACTCTGTAACGGATCAAACATGTTGAAAGTTCACCCCAGTAGTTGATACTAGATCGATTTTCAGTCTGTGAACTCACACCATTTAACCAGAAGCAATTGCAAAGGTGAATTTGATCAAATCTGACCAGGCGCAACTATGCTCGGCAGGATGTAGAGTAAAGTATAAAGTCCAGGTCGCATACATGCCCAAGATAAAGCTGTGTGACTAGCTCTATCTTATCTCAACGAGTGAGATGACTCTAAAACTTTGATACAGGAGTTTTGTACCAAATCACTCACCTTCAGCAATTGACGCACAGTTTGTACCCAGCAAGTGATTCAGGAAAGTAATAAGTGCCCTCTTGACGATATCGGAGGCCGAGGAATCCAGCGACATCCGCAATAAGGTTTGGCAATAACTCCCTGTAATTAGATCACGAATCTCCACAACACGACCTTCCTATTCTGCGCCTGGATGCGAGGATGGACCCTCCGCCCTCCGGCCCCTCTCTGTATCCCGACCATACGAGAATATTGTTGCTAAATGCCGATTGGAGGGGTTAATCGACCCTTAAGATATCTACGCTGTAGTAACACTAGCAGGCTTAATCAAGCTTTCCAGCCTCAAATAGCAGAGATTGCCGACAGATCGGGGACCGACAACACCTACCCAATGCTACCTAGGCAGCTGGCTATCTGCATCTCGAAATTGGGACACAGGAACTTCTGAAAGTGCTCTTGGTGGTGATCAGTTCGTATCGCAATCCTTATCGTGAAGCACGTCTTCGGAAATCATCATGGTCTATTCTCACGAGACACTATCCTGTCTAGCGATAAACGTCCTCAGTACTTAAAATGTGTCGTGATGCACTCTTCAGACTGAATTCTCTTGCGGATTATAGCCATCGCGGCGTCCATTACACTCCTTTCATTTACACTCATTTCAACGCTTCGTCATGAAAGTCCATTCTTTTACTCTTATGGCTGCCACGGCTCTGATCACGCCTGGTCTGGCGGCGTTTCACCCCGGAGCCGCTATCAAGGCAAAGCCACCAGTCAACGCTGGTTTCATCATCGAACTTGAGCCGAATGCGTCAATCAATGGCCGCGAGGTTGGCGAAGATGCGCACTCTGCTTTCCATCGCCGAGCAGAAGACGTCCTGGATTACTCTGTTCGTCACGAATTCAAAAATCCGGACTACTTCTACGGCTTGTCAATCAATGCAAAGGATGATACCGACGTCGACACTTTGCTTGCTCTACCCCAGGTCAAGAAGGTCTGGCCCAACAAATATTACGACCGCCCCATACCAGTTGGTTCTAGCCGGGGATCAAAGGCTGCCAACCCCTCTGTTCCCATCGGAGTGCAGTCTGTCCAGCTCAGAGCCGCTGCACAGGTTGTCACCATCAATGGCACCAGTGACGTCCTTTCCAGTCTCAAGATGACTGGCGCTGACAAAGTCCATGCCCAAGGCCTGACTGGAAAAGGCATCAAGATTGGTTTCCTCGATACTGGTGTTGATTGGCGTCACCCAGCCCTAGGCGGTGGCTACGGCGAAGGCTTCAAGGTAGCGGGAGGCTATGACTTTGTGGGTGATGGCTTTGTTGGCTGGAATGATCCAGTCCCGGACGATGATCCATTGACTACCTGCTTGGAGGGCGGTCACGGTACCCATGTTGCTGGTATGTCATGTTGAGGAGAAGCCAAACCTCTCCCTAGCTTGTGCTAACTCGTCATCGCAGGAATCCTCGCTGCCAAAGACCCTCAGGGCGTTGGATTTGGCATCTCTGGTGTTGCACCTGACGCATCTCTTTATGCGTACCGCGTTCTCGGCTGCAGTGGAGGTGTCACTGATGATATCCTCATGCAAGGCTTTGAGAGAGCTGCTAGCGACGGAGTTGACCTCATCAGCATGTCGATTGGTGAGACAACGATTTGGGAGGGTGGCTCACCGTACATTCCGATTCTGTCCAAGATCCAGTCCCAAGGCATCGGAATCGTCATTGCGGCCGGCAACGAGGGCGACACTGGCCTTTACGTTTCCTCGGCACCAGCACAAGACCCCAGTGCAATCTCAGTCGGCTCCGTAAGCGACTTCCACTTTGCTACGGTGTACAACGCTGCTGGTTCGGATGGTTCCACCATTGAGTACGGTCGTGTTGTTCCTCTCAACGCTTCAGCACACTTCAATGTCTTTGTTGCGGACGACGATAATGGAGAGTGCGTGGACCAAGCATGGGATGACGCGATCGCCAGCTTCCCTGACAAGGGCAGTGTGGTCGCATTGGTCACCGCGAGCAGCGACTGTTACTACGATATCCTGGATGCACGGAGCAACTCATCTGGCTTCACGAATGTCTGGGCATGGTTTCCCGATACCAGTGACATGTCCATCGACGAGCCAGGTGCCAATGGCGACATCGATACGGTCAAGATCAAGAAGTCCGAGGCAAGCAAGATTCTTGCCGGTATTGCTAAAGAGGGCAAGAACTTCACTTTGACTTTCGAAGACCAAACTGTTCATCAGATTGATCAGCCAACTGGAGGCACTACCTCATGGTTCTCTACCTTTGGGCCAACTATGGAAATGTCGCTCAAGCCTCAGGTGTCTGCACCTGGAGGAACTATTCTTAGCACATGGGTCACATCCAATGGATGGGGATATGCTGTTATCTCTGGGACGTCGATGGCCACTCCTCAGTAAGTCGTGTATCTAAAGCGCGAAGATGACCATAAACTGACCTTCTATAGCCTTGCGGGTTGCTACGCTCTTGTGAAGCAGAAGTTTCCTAACTTGAGCCCGAAGGACATCGCGAGACGTTTGCAATCATCGGCAACTCCTTTGAAGCAGGATAACGCGACCGATATTCTCACGACTACCGCTCAACAAGGCTCGGGACTAGTCAACGTTTTGAGAGCAGTCACATCGGAAACCGTCTTTTCTGCAACTGAGTTCAACCTGCGCGACTCAGCCGGCCCTCTCGATCGGAACTTCACAATCGAGAACCTGTCATCTTCCTCTAAGACCTACAAGTTGGGCCACAAGCCCGCAGCGGAAGTCAACGGATTACCAAATGGCAACAGTCTCGACATCAACGACATGTTCTACTGGGCACCCAACTTCAGTCCTGTCTACTCGGAAGTGTCATTCTCAACGAGCTCCCTCACGATTCCTGCTGGCGGCAAGGCGACTGTAGAGTTCACGATCACCCCTCCCGCTGTTGACGCCTCCCTCCTGCCGACTTACAGTGGTCTCATCACAGTCACCGAGGGAGAGGACGACTTTTCTATCCCCTATCTTGGAATCCCGTATGCCCGCGGTGAACTCTCCAATATCTACACAGGAGACTTGAAGAATCTTGGTGTCTCCCCAGCACCTCCTTCCGGCGTTCCTTTGCTGCCATTTATCAGTTCTTCTGACGCGGGAATTCGCAACAACGATAAGACAGTTTTCACATTCCCCGCCAAGAAGGTTGCCGAGAACCAAACACAGACGCCTGACAACGATCCAGTTCTCACAATTTTCATTGACCAACCATCGGCGTATGTCCGCTTTGACGCAGTACCCGCCGATATCGCGTCTAACCCCGCTTACAACTTCACACCGTCAACATTTGGCTATCTCCCGGGACTCCAAACGAACGCTACCACATTCACTAACACTACTGTCACCACTCCCCCCTTGGACTTGGACACCCTTGATCACGTGGCAGGGTTAAAGACTTATGGCCTCGTTGGCCTGCTATGGGGTGGCGATGTGCCTCATGGAACAGTTGCCACCAACTTCCGGGGCTACAGCGTTTATAGCACTGATTGGTCATGGGGAGTCGTTGAACTGGCCAACGGAACTATTTACCAGTTGCCGAATGCTGATTATCGTATTTTGGTTCGGGCATTGAAATGGGGGGGTAACATGAACAGCTCGACTGACTATGACAGCTGGCTGAGCCCGATCATTGGGGTTAACATCACAGACCCGGGATATCCTAACCCTTGGCTCACTCAGTGAGAAAGTCGAAAACGCCGCAACTTTGGTTCGGGATTCTGGATATCTCCAAGGCACACATAATATGCAGCGGGGGCATGTAGTGACAAGTGTTAGACCGTATTGTAATTATTCTCCTACCTTATGCACTCACCTTAGATGTAGTATAGAAACGTTCTATCTAGCGAGTACTGTGCTGTCACCAATTACCTCCAAGACAGACAGGTATCTGCAGTGATTCGCAAAGTGTTTTTTCCAATGGTCGTTCCTTGAATGTGAGCCTTATCCAAAACAGGCCATATGCCGAGGGGCGTTGGTACCAGCAAGGGTTAAGATGACCGAGGGCAAATTAGGACAAGCTTTTTGATTACCTAGGGCGTGGTATTGAAGCAGTGGGAAACAATAAAGATGCGAGCTTGGAGGGGACTTGAGGAGTATCGTGCCAAGGATTCCGTAACCCAAACAATGGTTTTTCATCTTGTATGTTGCATCGGCTTCTGGGGAATGACCTCGGCGCGTCAGAACATCAGGGCGACACCGAGAGGCGCAACGTGCGACAGCCTGCCCAATCCCCAAATTCTCCGTCTATGGCTAAGAATGAGCCTATCTTCATTTAGTAGCCTCAAGTCACCCGGTGGGATATATGGGTTGGCCACCATTCAGGCGACAAGCGCCCACATCTGATTGGGTCTCGAGCTACCTACCTAAGCTACTTGGTATGCCGACATGACTATACCTCAGTAGTACAAAATATCTTCATTTCCCGACTGTATCCTCGAGATTTCAACATTCAATTACGCCTCGCATTTGACTTGATCACTCCTCCACACCAATTTACATCATGATTTCTTCTACGCTTCGAAATGTCGTTGTTGGACTTTGGTTGGGTTTTGCAGTCAAGTGTGGTGCGATTAGCTTGACTGTATCACAAGAGCCCGGGAATGAAACCTCTACTACCATGTGGGGAATCATGTTCGAGGTAGGTATCGTGGTCTAAGTTTACTTTGGCTTTCCAAAACTAACGATCATCACATGTTAGGACATCAACTATTCCGGGGATGGCGGAATTCATGGACAGCTCATTCGAAATAATGGTTTTCAGGGTGACAACCCCGGCTTGGCGGCGTACTCGGCCATATCCGGAGCAATTCTAGACGTCGATTCTTCAGTTCCGCTCTCTGACGCACTTCCGAATTCACTGAAAGTCAGTGTTGAAAGTGGCGCCTCGGGCCAGGTTGGCTTCTCCAACGAGGGTTACTGGGGCATACCTGTTGATGGTAGCCCCCACTCGCATAACATCTTCATCCGTGGTAACTACCAGGGTCAAATGACCTGGGTCTTACAAAGCGTTTCCACGAAGGAGATTTTTGGAAACGCCACCTTCTACGTCGATACTACCACCGAAAGATTCACCGAGTTTCATCAAAGGCCACTCACAACATTCTCATCGTTGACGGATATCGAATACAGAATGACCTTTGATGCAGAGCTTGTAGCCGGATCTTCAGTGTGGTTCGCGCTTCCGCAGCTCTACCCAACCACCTTCCACAACCGGTATGTGGTTATTACACTTCTCCATCTTGGATCGGCATCTAACGTTTGACCTTTAGTTATAACGGATTGAAGCCATCTCTAGCTGAGGCAGTGGACAACATCGGGGGAAAGTTTCTCAGATTCCCCGGCGGCAACAACCTGTACGTTTTGAGTCATCGATACTTTTAGCCAGACTCTCATTTCTAACAACCCCAAGAGAAGGACCGAATGTCGAGAATCGATGGAAGTGGAATGAGACGATTGGTGCTCTGACTTCTCGCCCCGGTCACCAAGGTATGTCATGAAGAGAAACACATAAGTCGATAACATAGACTAACACGTCACAGGGGCTTGGGGGTATCCAAACACAGATGCTCTGGGTAGGGACATCATCTCTCCTTCTCACAATAAGTCGCTTTATCACTAAGCTTCCTTAGGTCTTCATGAGTACTTTGAGTGGTGTGATGATATGCAACTCGAGCCATTTCTGGACGTCTATTCAGGGTACTCTCTTGACGGCACTCATATCACTGGCGAGGCCCTGCGACCCTTTGTTGACGAGGTGATGCGGGAACTCGAAGTAAGTCCTAGAGTCCACGACATATGTTATTTTCTTCAATCTAATGTGTTTTGAAAAGTATGTTCTTGGCGATTCATCTACTCCAATGGGAGCTCTGCGAGCCAAAAACGGGCGTGAGCAGCCTTGGCCTGTCAAATGGGTTGAAATCGGAAACGAAGACGACTTTGGTTGTAGCAGCTACCCCGAAAGATTTGCTGCCTTCTATAACGCCATTCGTCCGGCGTATCCAGAGCTCCAACTCATTGCTTCAGCAACTGGGTTCAATTGCTTGCCTGATCCATTTCCAGCAGATGCGTGGATCGACTACCACGAAATACATCATCGGGCGCTTTCAGTGGTCGGACATGAAGGGCTCAGTTTCTGTGTCTCCGCAGGAATAAATACATCATCGGAGAAATGGGTCGCTGGGGCGTTCAGTGGTCGGACATGAAGGGCTCAGTTTCTGAGGCCATCTTCATGCTTGGACTGGAACGCAACAGTGACCTCATCCGAGGTGTGGCGTTCGCACCCTTGATCAGTCTTGTCGATCATCAGCAATGGGCTGTAAGTTTTGCACTGTCCCATGCTTTCCTAGCGCGACGTTTCATTGACAAAATTCTATCCAGCCCAATCTGATTCCGTTCAAACAGGCGCCTGACGCCATTGTTTACACCTCCAGCTACTGGGTACAGCAGCTTTTCGCACAGAACTCCGGAACCATGACACATGAGATCACCTCGGATGCCGAATTTGATCCAGTCTTCTGGAGTGCCGTAAGCGCTGGGGAGACCGTTGTTGTTAAGCTTGCCAATTATGCTGGTGAGCCACAACATCTTGATATCAAGATTGCAGGAAAGAAGTCTGCGACACTGTCAATCCTAAGCCACGACAACCCCGATAGCGCCAACACCTACGATGCAGCTCCTATCTCACCACCGGTGGTTTCACACATCGAATCGTCCGATGACAGCTTCGGTTTTCTCTTACCTGCATGGTCTGTTGCGGTTCTTAGGGCTGACTGATTCGGTACTATGTCCAAGAACTTACGGGTTAACGGCTCAGCCAAGTGAGCTTGAAGGAATCCGCTAATACTATTCTTCAAACCTCTTTTTATGATTTTGATATTACTTATGGCTACCTTAGTTAGATTTACTTCGCATTAAATTGTAGTCTCTCTGATAGGATTAATAGCGCCGTCGTGATTGTGAAATGACAAGTATCTACATCAAGCTGGACGATGAGAAGATTTGAAACTCTTCGTCTCTGCTAGCAGAATCGGATGAAGAGGCCGAGGCCTCGAGATAGACACTTGAATGAAAGTTGATGATCCGGCAGCGACTTTTGGTATGCCCGATCAATACCATTATGTGCGCAAAAGGTTCATGGGCCTGTTGATCTATTAGGAAGGGGCGGGTCAGCAGAGTATCCGTAGTGAAAGCTAACGTATATTAGCTACCCTTAGACTGAAACACTGCACTTTCCCCTCTGTGGGCCTACCATTCTTCTCTTTTCCTAAGAAACTCGCCGCTGTAGGTGTATTGTCATTCTTGAAAGCGGAATGCCTATTCAGTCGTAGCATAGAATATGACCAAGATGACTTTCAATTAAGACAGAGACTACCTATAGCGCGACATTCGCTCGGAGAAGCATGGTAAAAGAACAAAGAAACAAAAAAGGTCTTGCTACAGGGTTGAGAAAGCGCGTGGAGACGAAACCGTATGCCCAGACAAGAGAAGTAGATGTACGGAGTACGTTCTTGGGAAAGATGCAACAGCGAATCTCGGTCTTTCCTGCGTCGGACATTTGGGACAATATATCTGTTCAGTAAGCTTTGATATGCTATAGCATTTGTACCCAGCCACAATTCGTCGAGAAAGTCTTTCAATTTGAGTCACTGTATCAAAATAGACACGCACATTCATCCAACACTCACTGGGTCAGGTCAAGTCAACTGTCCTTCCAGACTTCTGTGAATCGGTAAGACTGTCGAAACGGACGAGACAAATCGACAGGACGACTCATTTTGTAGACAGATGGCTGTTATTGTGGGCCGCTTCTAGTCCCAGTCCCAGAGCTCAGGGACTTCGTAAAGGTGGCGTTAGTCACGAAATTAATCGCCAGGCCTTAAAATCTCGACCGTGAAAGAGGATGAAGCCGGCCTTTTGCGAGAAGAAAGCACATCGTCGGCTCACCTCACTTCCTGCCCACCTCAAATTGTAGTTTCAAACCTTTTTCTATTGCCTGTTACAAGATGCTAGAAAGTGTGATCCTTAATAGTGCGCAGTAATTACCGAAATTGGCTTGGAGCCTAAGAGAGGGTATTTGAAGACCACCGTGCGCGGTGCTAAGTCATATGGAGTATTCGCAACTCCATCGCACACTATGGATACGCTATCGAGTCAATCACCCCTGCTCCTAAGTGCGGTCTCGCAATCTACTTAACTTCGTCTACCTGGATACACGAGTCGTCATTTTAGGGCGTTTGGTATCCGTCGGATCCTTCGGAGGGAGTGTCGGGGCCAGACATTGATTTGACAACTGCAAGATATCAGGAGACACTGTCCATCCCGGGATTTTGCGTCCTGCGTCCTTTTATTTTCTATTGACAGACTCATTATACGCTCATCACACGCATTATCACGCTCTTTATCCGTTGAATATGATGTCTGCTTCTTCGAACTCGCGTTTTCGCATTCTCTGGGGCTTGCTTCTCACCTGCAGACTGAATGCCGGCGCAGCAGCAGTTATCAACACCAGTGACCAGGACCTTGCACAACGCGACAGCACAAACACCTATGATAACGCCTACTATGTTGTGCAGGGGTCCTGGAAATGTGATTTTACCCAACTTCGACTTCTCGATGCAGCCATCAACGAGGCGGAAGAGCTCGCTCAGAAAACCATAGAAGTGCTCCAAGTCGAGGGCGCTGAGACGTCCATTTCATATGATACCTGGTTTGGATCGAGTATGTAGATCTGCTTCTGGGAGCGACACGTCTTAGAAGCATCATGAACTAATCACAAGATTGCGCAGGTAATGCCAACCCGACAACGAAGGATACAATCATCAATCAGCACTACAAAACAGTCTTGTCGCATCTTCCTTATCCAAACATTCCTGCGGCTTTTCGATGGACCACCCACGCTGAATTCAAAGCGCCACTCAATGAGGCACCGCCGACGGACGACTCGATCGTGTATGGTTGCCCGCCAGTCGACGATAGAATGTGCCAGGATGGAGTCCTAGCATCCAATCTGCGAGCAACAGGGATGAAATCAGACGGAACAACGAAAGAATTCGGTCCCTTGGTGCTCGTCCTCTGCCCAGCGTTTTTCGAGTTGAAGAACAATAACGCAGAGATGATCAAGGAATGGCAGAGGACGCTGGGTTTTGGGTCAGGCAACTCCAAAGGCCGCATCTTGGTTCACGAAGTCCAGCACATGGCCAAAGGAACGAGCCCCAGCGAGCCTGCTGAGGACTTGTCAGAGCCACTTCCCGACATATTCGGCCATGACACGTGTTATTCTCCTAGTTGGTATGTTTATTGGTCTCTATTAAGCCAAATTCCATCAAAGATTTATCGACGGGTAGCTAACTTCCCGGCAGCTGTGCTCGTCTATCTGACGCTGATAAGATGAGAAACGCTCAGAATTTTGCTTTGTTTACCATTGACGTTCTTGCATTCCCGAATGCTGGCGCACCAGCGTCATCTGACAGCTGCAGTAACCCCAACCACAAACGACAAGTCCCGGCTCGCTCCCAAGGTCCAACCTGGAAACCTGTGTCGAACTCAACATTTACCCCTTTGGGGTCCACCTCTACAAAAAGACCCTCTTTCACAAGGATCCCGTCTTTCTCATCAATTCCATCCTCGTCTACCAACTATAAGCCTAGCAGCTTTGCCGAGCCCAGCAGCTACAAACCCCGTAGCTCGTCATTGGAAAAGTCTTTTAGTTCCACAATTACCAAGCCAACGACCTCACCAACAGCAGCTCCAGTCGACGTATCGAACGGTGCTGTGCTTGCTGTCGCCGTTGGGATAGTGGTTGTCGGCGGTGCGGGAGGAGGTTTCATCACAATGGGCGGACAAACAGTCGCCATCGCTGCAGGCCAAACGATTGTCGTCTCCCAGCAGACTTTTGAGGAACCGGAAGCTGAGAAACCAAAGTCGGATCAACCTGAGAGGACACATATGTCCATTCAGACAACGCCTTCAGCAAGACCTTCATCCACCTCCCGTTCGGCTTGGTCTACTACAACTTCCAATTGCCCTGCCGAGACCTCGAGAGCTTACAATGGCGACAACTTCAACTGCAGAGACCTTCACGACGCCAATTCTACTCTCCTTACCGACTTGCTGAGTGGTCTTGAGTTCGGTAATGGGCCTGTATACAATGAATCGTCCATCGCAGTGATCATTCCGGAGCCTACATTATTTCCCACAACTCTCATGCCTTCCACCACTACGATTGCGCCTGCTCCGCCTACGACCACTTCCAAACCCGCAACAGTCGAGCCTGTGGCCTGTTATAACTTTGATATCAATGCCTATGGCTACTGTTGTCCCGGACCTGGCAATCCCTGCCAGAATGATCTTGGCAAGTGTTATTTCAACGGAGAGGGTGTCTCTGGTGGAGCCAGTGGAATTGTGCCCACAGGCGCAAGGTGCCCGCCGCCACCTGGCGCAGAGTACTGCAGAGGTGTGTGTGAAGAGTAGAATGGCTGCTGTCTGAGTTCCCAGAGTGCGCAGCAAAGTGGGTGCTGATAACGGGTATCACTGCACGTGCATAATTGAAGAGGAACAGGATATTCGAGAAGCACTATGTTGTAACCCGTCTCTACTATGTTAATTTGGAGAACTAAGGAAAAGCGACTGCATTCGAGTCCCGGTTTTCTAGTAAAGGGTAAAATTACCACGGAAACGGGGTTCACCGTTTCCGTTATCGCGCATAAGTGACGGCGGCGGCAACAACGACAACGATTTGTAAGCATACTACTAAACGAAAGCTCTGAGTAGCGAGTTTTCATTGAAAGAGAATTCTGTCGGGCCCATGTCTAGTTTATATACAAAATTACCGGCATCTCGTTGGGTCGAGTGAGATTTTGGGCTGTGGTATGCAGAACAGGCGCTGATGCTTCCGAGTGAGTTTATCGAGAGCAGGATGCATGTGTAATGATGGGAAGTGGAATTCACAAGACTTTGACTTGATAACAGTTCGAGCGATGGCTGACGTGTACCATCTCCCATCATGATTACGGAAGTCTTTGATCTTATTGACTGCGGACTGGCGTTAGTATATTGCCCTCCGGAGCAGTAGCGAATGAATTATGATTTCTTGTCACCTTATCTCGGACCATCACCACTCAATGTTCTCTAATGCACATAGTCAATATAGTCATAAGACATCGGCGTTCAAGGAATTCACAGACGTACATACTGATGCGATTTCATACTCGATAGGACAAAGTACTCAATCGAAGTCGTCCGACATGTGGAAGGTATAGGGTGACTCCCAAGGGCTAGAAGCTTTAGGAATGGAAGGTTCGTTTAGGAGCAAGAACTCAGTATGTATAAATTAAGGCTTGAAAACGTCGAGGGAATCTTTTGCTCGCAAGGTGACTTAGGTAGCCAAGGCACAAACATATAATCATCATGCCTTTGTAGTACTTCTTCTAGAGGAGCGCATGACCACTCTATAAGACCCCTTTACTCTTAGTGTGTCGCTGAATAATGAACAAATTCAAAATAGAATGCCCAAAGCCTTGAACAGTATGAAGCTGCAGACTCCTACCATGCTGAAACACAAAAGCCATGTTCCAAGACCCCGCTTGATTTGCTTCATTGCAAACGTCTGGATTGCCTTGCCATCGTTGATGTTGGGGAATGGTACATCTTCAGGTACTGGGAGATCCAATGCTTTGCACAAGGGCTTCCATCCATCTCGTACATCGAAGAAGATCAGCCGCTCTGGCGGGACAACACTCTTCAGGTACGCGATATGGCGGTGATATGTTTTGACCGTTGGTGGGTTTGATTCTCCGTACAGTTTGACCCAATGTGAGATTAAAATTTGGACATAGGCTGGGAAGAATCGCATCGTGGGCAGCAGAAAGAGTATGAAGCGCAAAGCTGATGGCGACACCTCGTCATTCAACCCTCCCATGCTCCTCTCCCAGGCCTTGTCATCACGGATTGTGCAGACGACTTTGGCATCGGGGTATAGTGTCACAAGCTCCTTCACGAGATTGCAACCAGGCGCGTCAGTGATAGCAACATAGCCGTCAGTGCGCGCGCGCATGGCGTTCAAGATTTCCTGCTCCATGGCCGCATTCGTCGGTGGCCACTCTGAAAGCACCTTCATCCATGATTTGATCTCCGCTTCGGGGCCGAGACATAACTGAGTTCCGCCGTGAAAGACCGGTCCATTAAGTAGTATCTCTAAGGCACGGCTGATTGAGCTGGTTCCAGTACGCGATAGTCCTGCACAGATGACCTGCATCTTTGCGCCCTTCCGGGGGCGTGAGTATTGTTGCCCCATCGAGAGACTAATGAAATTGCTCTCAGAGTCAAGTGAAAGATGTGTTTCGAAAAGTCTAACACTGTAGCAGGGAATACTTCATCTCCAAGCACAAGCATGCTGAAGACATGCCAGTCCTGTTGCAAAAATCAAATGTGCGAGAAGGACGACGTCAGGGCATCCGGTGGAGCAAAAGTAAGCAGCGAAGCCAAGCACCCTAATCCTGCAGTCATCATTCCTTCGCTTATGCCTACTTAGCGTGTTCGACTTTAGATAAGGTACTGATGTTCCGGGAGTGAGAGCATAATCCCCAATGCGCTGGTCTTTGAGCCCTGCTTCATATTTACCGAGAGCGGTAATGTAGAGTCGCGCGGTAGACTTTGCCATAGATTGAGAAGTCTTTCTCAAATAGTGCCGAGTGCTGTGTGGCATTCCGATTCGCCCTCTTGTCCGGCGTCGTTGTGTACGAGCCTTGCCAAGACTCCGGCGATAGCAGCCCCGTTTTGACGGTGAATGACTTCGACCAGTGGGTCTCCGATCGGACTCTGTTCCCACATGCTTTAGCAGGCGTGAAGGCAGACTCGCCTTCGCTCACCTGAACAGTAGGCCATGGGATTATCACTGGGTGAGCAGATTCGACATAAAACTTCAGTGGCACCCCGCCTCGAATTTCAGGATTGTACCTGAGTTGCATCTAGTTTGCGGCGTCGTCTTCAAACCGCCAGGATCCTCGCGTCGCAGTATGGTGTATGCTGAACGAGAGCAATGTTGCTCATGCTGTAAGTCAAAGACACATATACTGATAGACATGACGGTAGCTGGAGTACGAGGAAGGTAAATGTGAAGCGGCAGATGGGTGAGCAAGCGATGATGGCTGAAACGGCTTCCTAACTTCCAAAATTCTGTCCTTAGGGTAATATGGATTGACATACACGGGGTAACATAATAGCGTCTAGATGCTCTCCGCAGTTGTGTCCACTGAAATGGGAATGAGGGATACACTACTCCGTAGACCGCGCTGGCATCATTGCCATCAGCTTGTTGAATGATTCAAATCTTCTAGATCCTTTTCAGATTCCAAACGAACCCCAGAACGATTGTAAGACTGGGCTTTCATGCGGGGAAAGTTCTGGACTCCAGGTAGGGTAGACTGGAGTTTAGTACCCACTCAAGATAAGTAACGTTGGATTCGGGGTGAACTGTTGCTTGCGTGACTGCCAGCCCAGAGCGCGAAAACCCTTGTAGATTGAACCTATGACGCATGTTTAAGTCCAGGAGTACATCTAATCAGGAGGCAGGCGGGAAGGCCAAGACATGATCGGCAACACTAGCTTCACTGGTCTCCACTCTTTCATCTCAAATCTTCCAATGAAAACCTGCAAACTCTCGCGAACGCGCTCCCAACTGCCTCGAGAGCTCGAGTTTACTGACACAAGGCGGAGTCCAGCTGGGACCGATATCCCCGACACGCCGAAATGTCAGACGAGGGGCTTAGATACGGATGATCATCTCCTGATGTTGTTGCTTGGGTGCCTTTGATGGATGAATCCCCACCTCATGCTTACCCCAGTGCGGAGAGCGGGGAAGTTAGAAGCGTCTGGGGTTTGGATGTTGGAACTTGGAACTGTGATTAATGGAGCCGTCTTCTTGCAGAGACAGCCTGTCTGGTCGGAAATACATAAGACTTGGCCATGGTCGTCCCCGTTGCTTGGCCTTACTACTGTTACTTGGCTCATCGTTGATCAATTGGCGCAAGTCGCACATTTCACAGTGAACTGCCACAATTTCTGGATCCCGCCAAGCTAATTTGAACGCCGCCAAGCTAACCATGGGAATCAACGAGATTGACCACGTCCCGCACTCGGACGATGCGTTCGAGAAGGACACAGGCGGCGATCTGAAGCCCCAGACGGAGCTCGCCGAGGGTCTTGGTAGCGGAAAGGCCTCCGCCGTCAACATCGTCGAGAACCCGCTGAAGGTGAGTTCCTGTTTGCGCCAAGGCCCAGGATCATGAGTCGAGGAACACTCCCAAAATCATTGACACGCCTTCTTTCTGCAGCGCAAAACCCCACAGCAAACCGTCGAGGATGCCGTGGCGTTCGCCGAGACGCACAATCTGGGCGAACATGCCGCCCTCTTTGGTCGCGCGGCTATGGTCGCGCGCGACATGAACAACTTCAACGACGTTGCAGACCTCTCTGAAGACGAGCGCCGAGCGCTGGAATATGAGCGAGACCACAAATGGCACGGCCCGAAGATGCTGTGGTATTCGATCGGCCTCTGTGCCATCGGAGCCGCGACACAGGGTTGGGATCAGACGGGTTCCAACGGCGCCAACCTGACATTCCACGAGGCACTTGGCATCGACAGCGGGTCCTCCAGAGACGAGTGGCTCATTGGTCTGATCAACTCCATCATCTTTCTCACGGCCGGTCTGATGTTAGTGACAATCAATTCCCGTGTCCTATCGCAATTGCTAACCACCCGCACGCAGTGGCGCCTTTATTGTCGATCCTCTCAACCACTACTTTGGCCGGCGCGGCGAGATCTTCATCACGGCTTTGTGCCTTACTGCGACCCCGATCGGCTCCGGTTTTGCGCAAACATGGCAAGGTCTCTTCGCGGCGCGTTTCGTGATGGGCATCGGCATCGGCGCGAAGAACGCTACCGTGCCCATTTACTCCGCTGAAATGGCTCCCCACCGAGTCCGTGGCGCGCTCGTCATGTTCTGGCAGCTCTGGGTCGTCGCGGGCATCTTTCTGGGCTTCTGCGCGAATGTCATCGTGAAGGACACCGGCGATATCTCCTGGCGACTCCAGCTGGGCTCGGCATTCATCCCATCCTTCGTCTTGGCTGTTGGCATATTCTTCTGCCCCGAGTCCCCGCGCTGGCTCATGAAGCACGGCCGACATGCCGAGGCTTTCCGCTCCATGTGCAAACTTCGAGCCCATAACATCATCGGTGCCAGAGACTTCTACTACTCGTGGGTGATCTACGAGGAGGAGCTCAAGGAGGCTCGTGGCGCAGGGTACTTCCGGCGCCTTTGGGACTGTTTCTCCATCCCCAGAATCAGGCGTGCCAACTACGGTGCTAGCACTGTAATGCTTGCCCAGCAAATGTGTGGACCCTCCTAATCTTCTTCATTACTTGTTGTGCTGACCCGACTAGGTGTGGAATCAACATCATCTCCTTCTACAGTTCTACGATTTTCGTCGATGCAGGATACACGCCTGTGGAGGCCCTGTATGCTTCGTTGGGTTACGGCGCCATTCAAGTTGTTGCGACGATCCCTACCCTGTTCCTCATTGATACCAAGGGGCGGAGAACTCTCTGCATGATCGTGAGTTAACGTGGGCAGAAGTTGCCGGATACAGACTGACAGCTCTAGACCTTCCCTCTCATGTGTGTTTTCCTACTGGCTGCTGGTCTGTCCCTGTTAAACCCAACTGAGGAACGAGGACCAAAGATCGGACCGGTCGCTTTGTAAGTAGCACCACTCGTATGAATCCCTTAGCTATACTAACACTCCGGCAAACCAGGTTCATCTACCTATTCACTATCTGCTACTCCCTGGGTGAAGGCCCTGTCGCATTCCAGTACTCTGCCGAAGTTTTCCCTACCATTCAGCGTGAGCAAGGAATGGCCTGGGTTGTCTGCATTAACAACACCTTCGGTCAGTCGGGCAATATTTCACATCGTGGATAGTGGACTGACAAGCTTAATAGCTGGCATTCTCAGCTTGACCTTCCCGCGCATGAGCACTGCCATGACTCCAACTGGTGCTTGTAAGTATTCTAGCCAATCTTGGTCCTAATCTTGTGACTGACCTCTCTACCACAGTTGGGTTCTACGCTGGGCTTAACCTTATTGCCTGGGGTATGATCTTCTGTTTCGTCCGAGAGACTAAGCAACTCACCTTGGAAGAATTGGACCGTAAGCCTCACAACATTTCCTACATTATGCCGCTGTGCTAACCCCGCGCCCAGAGGTCTTCTCTGTCCCGACAAAGCAATTCATTAGCCACGAGATCAAGTACTCTATTCCCTATTTCTTCAAGCGCCATGTCTTCCGACAGAAGGTTCCCAAGCCTCCCGCGATCATCGCCGTCGCTAGCGAGTCAAAGAAGGACAGCGGCTCTAGCTCTGCTTGAATTCAATTAACTGCAATGGATAGAGTTCATAAAAGAGAACCTGGGATATAGTATATGTATCATAACTGCTTCATTTCAGTAGCCAGACTTAGATTACCGCTAAGTGTGCAGGTTAGACTGGAGGAGAAAGCTATGAGGTAGATATTCAAGAAAGAAATGGCCAAATAGAAGATTTCTATAAGTTGTGAATCCCTTCAAAAGAATGCCCGATATTTGATTAGCAGTGAGTTGTTAACAGAGCAACATGAATTTAGAATCGTTTAAGGACGCGCTTGGCACGCAGAAATAGCCATAGATGCATCATGAATGGCTTGTGCATCCAGATTCCACTTGCCCAGGTTCTAACCATAGTAAGACAGTGCTTTTACAATCCCTCGTTACTGTATTCGTCTAGGAGGCGCGCGCACATGTCCAAATCTGTGCTGATACTGTGTCTACGTAACTCAGTAAATGGAATTGTTATTGGACGTGTTGCAATTGTTACTTGAATAACTAAACCCATAATCGCTGTGGTGCGGAATGGTGGCCCCCTGGAGCACCTCATTAACGTTCTGCACCTAATGCAAAGAAGAGCGACCGAGAAATATCACTAGTATTTCTATAGAATTGCGACCCATACGAAACCGAAATAGAGTATTGTCAAAACCCAGCAGACTTGACAAAATCTTCAATATCACGAAGAAACTCAACAGGTCGCTCAAGAGCTGCAAAGTGTCCACCCTAGTAGGAGTCTAGTTAAGGGTCTTGTGCATGAAAGCTTCTAATTAATCTCTCACCTTTTCTTGCTGACGATAAAACACCAGATTGCCGTGCTTTTTCGCCAGCTTTTCCGGTACAGGTACAAGCTCTTTCATAAACCAAGAGTAACCAAATGACTGCCTAAAAGCAGGAAACGAGTACTGGTGGCCATCGATGAAAGTCCCACGGTACGTATATATGCACCGTGGCATGGTCTCGGTGAGCCAATACAGCGTGACATTAGTCAAAAGCTCGTCAATACCAATCGGATCATCGGGCCATTCTAGGAACTTTTCGCCCCTCCTAGGTAGGCAGAGATCAAAACACTGCCCGAGCACTTAGAGCTTGGAGCTTTGGGAACTCACCATGCTAGGAGGGCAAGGGGGCTAGAAGAAACCATAACTACGATTGTAGCCGGCCTTGTGCTTTGAAGCAAAGCCGCTCCTGTTGTTGGAGTCAAGAAACGGCGTCCCACGTACTCGATAGCCTCCTTCTCTTTGGATGATAGGGAAGGGTCGTCGACGCTCGACATTTCGAGGCTTGGCAGCAGATTAACTTATTAGTATCAGCACGGAAATTGCAAGCTGATTCTAGTAATTAAGATCTTACGATGAATAGCTGCGACCGAGTCGTAGTTTGTTGCGAGTATTGAAGCAATCAGCGATCCGACATCTCCTCCCTGTACAACGTACCGGCTGAACCCAAGCGCTGTCATCGCCTTGTTGATCACGCGTGCTGCATCTTGACTGGTGTAGGCCTGCGCCTGACCCGGTCCGGAGCTGAACAAATATCCTGGGAGAGATGGAACAATGAAGTGATAAGGCAACTCAGACGAGCTATACTTCCTCTGGACAATCTCCAAGACCGGCATGAATTCAAGGAAGCTACCTGGCCACCCATGAAGCAGTACGATGGGGATGGCATTATCTCTTTCGGAAAATAGGCCAATGAAGTGGAGGTCAATGTCACCCTTCCCAGCTTCCTGAGAAACCAAAATCTTGTAGTTGGGAAGTGAGTTGATGCGATTTTCCTGAGCACGCCAGTTGAACTCGGTTAACCAGTAATGAACGGTCGAAATAAGCCATTGGCGTGAAACGCCGTATCGTCCATCCTCGTGTCGATTTTCCCAGGTCTTAGGTCCCGCGCGTGAAGCCTGCAAGAGGGCCCGGAGCTGAGATTAGTCGTCGTCTAGGATGGAAAGGGTGAAAGGTCGAGCGATACTGGGAGCTGAGTATGGCATGGTGTGCTTGGGCAACGTGTTGAGAGAATGGAATGTATAGCGAGTCCAAGATTACTGCAAGCAGGCTGACAGAGAAGCGCCACTGCACCCACGTTGCTGGAAGCGATCTAGCTGCTACAGTTGCTACTTGTAATCCAGGAATTTAAGTAATTATCAGACCGAACGGTTGGTCAACATAATTTAAATCATCTACTCCGTAAATCAAACTAAGGTACCTATCCAGACGCCGGATGACATTCACCCCGCAGTGGGGGGTTTCCGAGCCAGAAGTCATTGAGAGGACCATTTAGAAAGCCGCTCATGCTTGGCGTGCAGGATATTATCCCTGGAAATGGGGTAGTAGCTTTGTTTCAAATCATCTGTGACTCACACCGACTTATAGGATCGAACTAAAACGTTCGATCTCGCTGCCTGCCGGTGTGACTACATACATACCGTCATAGCGCAGAATCAAGGCCAACGCCATTAGCTTCGTCAGAACTGAAAATTTAGTTTTGTACTGCACTTTATTATTAACAGATACTAGTGACAAGAGTTGGTTATACGAACACGCAAATTGAATGATCTAAATGAGCATAGTCATCATCATTCAATTTGTCCTTTTCCCATCTGGTGGTCCTAATCTATAGCAAATCACAATGGAATCCACTTTCCAGAGAGACACTTCAGTCTCGGCCTCATTTCGTACGGCGACAAATCCAACCTTCACGCAAACGATCATCGGCAGGAAGTCGGCATTGTCTCAAGACATCGAGGAATTCCGTGGCATCCCTTACGGCTACGTGCCTAGAAGATGGGAGCATTCTCGACTGAGAGAGCAGTTGCCCGATGATGTATACGACGCCACAAAGAATGGGTACGTGGATCTGCGCTTTCGCTCTCAATTTTCTTGGTGCCAATGTTGGTATGACAATCACTGACCGAATTACAGTCCCAAGTGTCCTGCTCCAGGTGTATCTGATTCAAGATCATTTCAATCGTACCTGCCTTTCCCAAACGATGATGAGGACGAGTTTGCATGCTTGAACCTTTTCGTAGTCCGACCAAGCTCAGAGGCAATAGCTAAGATCTACGGCACCTCCCAAACAGTAAAGTTACCTGTCATGGTATGGATTCACGGCGGCGGTTTCGCAGATGGGTCATGTACGGACCCTGTTTGTGGTATGTTGCATTTTTAGGCTACCGCGTAGTTACCATTCCTTTCTAACCCGTCGTCATTCAGATCCTTCCCGGCTTGTACACCGGGCCATTGTCAAGGGCACGCCTTTCATCGCTGTTGCTATGAATTATCGCCTTAACATCTTCGGCTTCGGCGCGTCATCCACGATGCTTGCGGCGCAAGATTCCAATGCCTCCATCAAGGGAGTCAACTTTGGCCTCCACGACCAGAAAATCGCTCTTATCTGGATTAAACATCATGTTAGCGAGTTCGGCGGCGACCCTACCAGAATCACCATTATGGGTCAATCTGCTGGAGCAACGTCTTGTCACATTCATTTGCTCGAGGCTGAGTCAAGTGCGCGAAAGCCCTTGTTTCACAAGGCCGTCTTGATGTCAGGAGCTTTTGGCGGTCTTGATGTGTCACTTCTCGAGAAGGCGGATGAGCGCTGGGAGAAACTCTGTCAGTGGTTCTCGTTCCAAGAACTAGGCCCAGCCGATCGTCTTGAATCGCTTAAGCACGTTCCCGCCCATCAACTACTTTGCGCCGTATCTGAGCTTTGTTGGAGGTTCTTTACCCTCACAATCGACGGCTCGACCATCAACCAGGTTGATACAGACTCAAGTGTCTCCGTACATCTTGGGAACGATGACATGGAAACACATCTCAAGGATATAGGCGACGACGTTCAAGTTCTGTTGGGTGCGACATCTCAAGAATTCTACGGCTTCGTCCGTATGGCCAACTGGACCTTTGAGGAGTTCAGCTCGCTTTTCAAGCCGTGTTTTCCATCACAGGAAGTCGCTCAAAGAATCCAAGAAGCGTATGGCATTATACGCACCTCCCCAAACGAATTGGTTCAAGATGGACTGGTCCAATTCGTGTCTGACGCAACCATGACGTATACCAAGACTCACCGCGCTGCCGAACATCTCAAGTCGCATCGTAGCATGCGGCAGAGAACCTCTCAACCAAATCCTAGATGTGTTAGGATCCACCAGTATCATGTGGAATTTGGTAATCCTTTTCTCGGCCCAATGCACGGCATTGCACATCACGGAGTGGACTTGGTCTACTCATTTGGTAATTTCGAAGCCGCCTTGGAGAATTGCGATCGTGGTATCCCGGAAGGCTACGTTGAGCCCGGCTCTGACGCACCAGAACAAATTCCCACGGACACAAGTCCTACGATAAATCTGGACCGCCAGCAAGATTACAAATCTCATGTGGATTTGAGTCGTTACATGCAAGACGAGCTCGTCGATTTCATTGTGGAACAGCCCTGTGATTCTGATGGGTGCGGACATGTCGATCAAACTAAACTTTACTGTTCTGATCGATCAGTACGCATGGAAAGTTGGACTGATAGAGAGGAGTGGGGGCTGACAAAGGCAAGGTATGATGCTTTGGAGAAGGACTTTGTTTCCATGGTTGTCGCCTCAAAGAAACTCGTTAGGAATGTCTTGAATATGTCATTAGACTAGCCGCTGTTCATAGTGTCTACTAAACGCGGCGCAGCTTAACGACTATCTAGAGATATGCAAGTAACGACGACTTTTAATAAGAAAGAGCTCTTTAAAATTCTATTAACTACCGGAGATCTATAATATAAATAAATTTATAAGATTTAATATATTAATTTTATATAATAATATATTATATTTCTTATAAATATATTAAATATAAGAATAAATTTATAATAAATAAAAATTTAAGATTTTAAAAATTATTATTAAGCCTTTTATAAGAATTATAAATAATTATATAATAAGTCTTACTTAAAAAGTTTTAAAAAATATATTTAATATATAATTAGTAATATATTTATACTTATATATATATATATATATATATATCCCTATTATAACCCAATACGCATAATAAGGACAGGGCCTACCCTATAGGGCCTACGGCGGCTACCGCACTATATATATAAAAATACGAACTTAGGGTAACTCCTCTCAGAATAAAAAAACTATAAAATAAGTTACGTAATAATAAAAAATAAAGAACTCTATATATTTAAAATATAGAATTTACCTTTTATAATATAGAACCTACGTATTTAAAATATAAGATCTATTAAATAAATATATGGATAAAGGATATATTTAAAAAGAGACTTATATATAATATAAATTTAAGCTGGGCTTAAAAGTAGACTTTATAACTTTTTAATAATGAGTTTAATATTAAATTTTATAATCGCTTTTAATTATTTTTATTAAGAACCCTTTTAATAAAATTACGATTAATTACTAAAGTTTTACTTATTTTATAACTTATAAATATAGTTTTAGGAAGCTATTTATAATTATAATATTATTTATTTAATATTTATAGCCTTAATTTTTATTAATATACTTATTATAACTAACTAGTTATAATACTTTAATTACTTTTATTTAATAAGTTTATTTTATAAAAACTAATTAAATAATATAAATATATTAACTATTAGTAATAATAGTACTATATAACTTACTTAAGGAACTATATTTATTATATAATAATTATATAATATAATATTTAAACTTAAGAACGAGAATAAATAACTCTATGTTTAGCTCTTAGTACTGATCTTTTTAGTATTTTCAGGGTTAGGGTTAGGGTTAGGGTTAGGGTTAGGGTTAGGGTTAGGGTTAGGGTTAGGGTTAGGGTTAGGGTTAGGGTTA